AACCAAGTCCAGCTCCTGGCCTGCACGTGTGGCTTAGCCTCTAAGCCTGGCGGAACTGCTTCTACCAACAGGAGAAGGGGCGAAGGCTGGTCTCTGGCGCCTTAAAACCAGTTGCTTTGGGCAGATGGGACTCGTTAGCCTGGAAGGGCAGCTTATCTAGGGGGAAGGAAAACCCCGAATTCAAACCCCTGCTGTCTTGCGGCTTAATCCACTCATGAGAAAGACTTCCGGAGTCAACCCTGAGGAAAAATCCGGAGTCGGAGTTCCTAAGGCAGTTTGCAGCTGTTTACAGCTACAATCTGGCAACTCCTGCGACGACACTGGTGCCAAGCGTATCGGCGCCTGCCCTTCCCTTAGATCACATCAGTGGCGTGGAGAGGGTGGATCTGCTGCATGGGCAACAGCTGATCTTCTATAATTACTGCCCAGGCCTGTGCCCTGGAGAGGACACTCCAGCATCGCCTTGGCGATGGCTCAACACGGAAAGTGACAGTTACCGGTGATAAGCCTACCACTCAATTGGCGTAGAGTAAGGCGCCAGGAGTTGCTTCTGTCGGTGGGAGAAATCATCCGATTTCATAGGACAGCTACCGCCCGCCTCAAGCTGGGCAGCCCCCAGCCAATAAGGTGCTGTCCCGCCACGGTCCGCCTGCTCCACTGGGTGCGTGGGGCTTAGGCCACAATCCAATAAGCGGATCGTCAACCCATGCGCCAGGCAAAAGAAAACAAACACAGAGCCACCCAGCTCTCAAACTGGGCACATGGAATGTAAAGACCATGAAACTGGGTCTCTCAGAAGATCTACTGGAAGTAAACGACGTCCGCAAAACAGCTGTGATCAACAATGAACTGCGCAGGCTCCAGATGGACATAGTCGCCCTGCAGGAGACACGTCTGCCCGCAACCGGCAGCATACAGGAGAAGGACTTTACCTTCTTCTGGCAGGGCAAACCACCAGAAGAGGTAAGGGAGCATGGCATTGGCTTTGCCATCAGGAACAGGTTGTTAGGGTCCATAGTACCGCGTATGGAGGGGTCTGCAAGGATCATCAAACTTCAGCTTCATACAGCAGTAGGAATGGTCAGCCTCATCAATGCCTATGCACCAACACTGACCTCCTCTACCGAAGCGAAGGACAAGTTCTATGATGACCTCGGCCTAGCTCTCAGAGACATACCTCAACAAGAGCCAGTCTTCCTCCTGGGAGATTTTAATGCAAGAGTTGGTTCTGATCACAGCTCTTGGCCTTCCTGCCTGGGCCAGTTTGGATTTGGTAGAGAAGATTTGGGAAGATGAATGAGAGTGGGCAGCGCCTCCTGGAGTTCTGCTGCCGTCATGATCTCTGCATCACCAATTCCTTCTTCGACACCAAGCCCCAGCATAAGGTTTCCTGGAGACATCCCAGGTCTAAGCATTGGCACCAACTCGACCTGGTGCTTACGGGGCGTAACAATCTGGGAAATGTCAAACTGACCCGCAGCTTCCAGAGGGCAGATTGCGACACCGACCACTCTCTCGTCGTTTGCAGAGTAAAGTTCCAGCCCCGGAAAATCCACAGAGCAAAGAAGGAGGGAAGACCATGTATTAACGTAAACAAGACCCATGACCTTCACAAGGTGGAGGAATTCACTGCGGCGCTGGTAAATGCCCTTCCTGTACCACCCTGCGATAGCGCAAGTGAGAGGTGGTTACATCTCAGGGGCACTATTTTCAACACTGCCATGTCCACCTTTGGTAAGAGGCAGAACAAGTCAGCAGATTGGTTCAAGGCCAGTGCAGAGGAACTGTTACCCCTCGTAGAGGAAAAGAGACGAGCTCTCTCATCCTACAAGAACCTGCCCTCAGAAAGGAACCTACAGGCCCTCCGTACTGCCCGCAGTAGAGTTCAACAAACTGCGAGGCGTTGTGCTAACGATTACTGGCTTCGACTTTGTTCCTGCATCCAGACTGCGGCCACTGTCGGCAACATAAGAGGCATGTATGAAGGGATCAAACAGGTAACAGGCCCTACACAAAACCGGATGGCTCCTCTAAAGTCAGCCACTGGAGAGATCATTAAAGACCGTGATCAACAGATGAATCGCTGGGTGGAACATTACTCCGAACTCTACTCCAGAGAGAACTTGGTCAGCGTAGAGGCTTTGGATGCAATTGAATGCCTGCCCCTCATGGAAGAACTTGATCTTGAACCAACTGTGGAAGAAGTTGAGAAGTTGAGAAAGCAGTGGATTCACTTTCCTCAGGGAAGGCCCCAGGAGACGACGGGATTCCGCCTGAAGTTCTCAAGTGCGCTTGTGGAACACTTAAATCTGAGCTTCATGAACTTCTGTGCCAGTGCTGGAGGGAGGGCTCGGTGCCACAAGACATGAGAGATGCAAACATCATCACTCTCTACAAAAATAAAGGTGACAGAAGCGATGTAAACAACTATCGTGGCATATCCCTCCTCAGCGTCGTTGGCAAACTCTTTGCTAGGGTCGTTTTGGTCAGGCTTCAGATTCTTGCCGAAAGAGTGTACCCCGAGTCACAGTGTGATTTCCGAGCAGAGAGGTCGACCACTGGCATGGTGTTCTCCCTGAGACAGCTTCAAGAAAAGTGCAGGGAGCAGAGAAAAGCCTTGTACATTGCCTTCATTGACCTTACAAAGGCCTTCGACCTCGTGAGTAGGGACGGACTCTTCAAGATCTTGGCCAAAATTGGCTGTCCACCCATCCTACTCAGCATGATACAATCATTCCACAAGGACATGAAGGGGACAGTCGTGTACGACGGCTCAACTTCTGAACCATTCAACATTAACAGTGGTGTTAAACAGGGGTGTGTTCTTGCTTCAACCCTGTTCGGCATCTTCTTCGCTATCCTCGTCAAGCATGCCTTTGGAACAATCACAGAAGGCATCTATCTCAGTACAAGATCTGATGGAAACCTCTATAATCTATCCAGACTCCGAGCAAAGACAAAAGTACAGATGCGAATCTTCAGGGAGTTCCTCTTCACTGATGACGCAGCGATCACCACACACACAGCAGAAGGCCTGCAGCAGCTACTCAACCGCTTTGCCGCAGCCTGTTCCGCATTCGGCCTGACAATCAGCCTGAAGAAGACACAGGTGATGGGACAAGATGTCAATGAGCTACCCTGTATAAATATAGCAGACTATGTGCTGGAGGCAGTTCACGAGTTGGTGTACCTGGGCTTCACAATCTCAGACACCCTTTCCCTGGACACTGAGCTCAACAGGTGTATTGGGAAGGCCGCAACAACACTGGCCAGGCTCACAAAGCGCGTTTGGGAAAATGCCAAACTGACAGTACACACCAAGGCACAAGTCTACATGGCATGTGTGGTGAGTACACTTCTCTATGGCTTGGAATCCTGGACCCTGCGCTCTCGCCAGGAGAGACGGCTTAATACCTTTCACATGCGGAACCTGAGACGCATCCTTGACATCACGTGGAAAGACCATGTCACCAACAACACTGTACTCGAGAGAACAGGAGTCCCTTCAATGTTTACTCTCCTGAAACAGAGATGCATGCGATGGCTGGGACATGTCACACGCATGGTCGATGGCTGCATACCAAAGGACCTCTTGTATGGAGAACTGGCATCAGGAAGGAGAGAAGACCTCAGCTGCGTTTCAAAGATGCCTGCAAACGCAACCTCAAGCAGATGAACATCGACATCAACACTTGGGAGGCAGCAGCTGCGGACAGATCTGCCTGGAGATGTAAAGTGTAGAAGGGACTCCAGCAATTTGAGGATGAACTGAAGAGGCAGGTGGAGGATAATAGATTTCAGAGGAGGTCTCGACCACTGTCAGATGCACCCGCTTCGGCGTTTATCTGCGCTCGCTGCAGTCGAGACTGTCATTCTCGAGTTGGCCTTCACAGCCACAGCAGGTGCTGCATCCAACTAGACTTCAACAACTAGACACCCAGGGCACAACTCCATAACCCCACGGGATTGACGGATGCCTACTACTCTCTCATCTATCCTTATCTCAACTATGGTATTTGTGCTTGGGGTTCTACTACCCAAAATCATTTACGACCTCTAATTACTCAACACAAAGCTGCTATTAGGACAATATCTAACTCTGGCCCCAGACATCACTCGGTACCCTTACTCAAATCTCTGAATATGTTAGATATTAAGTCACTGCACAACCTCTCATGTGTATTTTATATATATAAAACGCTGAACTGTAATGTCAATCCTGACCTTAAAAGCTTCCTAGAAGGTTGTAACAGATTCCATGAGCACCACACCAGAAACGTACTTTACCTGAATAAATATTTGTATTTGTATTTTGAGTGAAAAAGTCAATAAACAGGAATATTGAGGAGAGCACTCTGAGGTGGTTTGGAATCCTTGAATGACTGGATGATGGCCAGACAAACTGAGTGTATGTATGAGGAAACAAACCAACCATGAGTGTGGAGAATACATGGAGTATGGCGAGGGACAAGGCTGAATGGAAGCTGTTTGCAAGAAACGAGTAAATGCATTTGTTAATAAATATATAATTGATGAGGAGCACTGTACTAACGAGGTCTTGTGAAGTGGTGGGCTGATGCCCCCGGTTAGAGTGTGGTGGTGCTTGTTCCTGATGCTATATACTCTATTGTGAATGATGTAATAAATGGGCGAGTACTATTTTGAATGTTCTGTTATTCAATTTCTCTAATCTTGTTGCTGTTGCCTCCCCATTTGATGAGTGGGAAATGGGAAATTACAATGTACAGATATAGCCTATGTGTGCATGCAGCAATGTCAGTTATGAGAATCTCACATGCCTAGTGATAAATGCATAATTTGAAACCAATCCTTTGGCAAAATTCTCTTGCAAGACTTGACCAATCATAAAAACTTCCAAATCCTTATGCTTATAATCAATTTGGGCAAAATAAATAATCTAAGCTAAATTTAAAAAACATTTATCTTGGAAAGGGAAGAAGATTATATTATTCCATTACATAAGTGAGAAGTATCCTTACTTGGTGAGAGCAGAGGTAAAAGTCTCGTTCATGTGGATGTGTAATACCGACGTCAACAACTGTTCCGGGAGGAATATTCTTACATTTCCCAACTCCTTGTTTTTCTTTGCAGAACAGTCTGTGAAAGTCATAATCATTTTAATTAAAGATTACAGAAAAACTTGCATTGACGATGAGGGGAATAAGGGGAACTACCGAGAACATAATAAAAGTACTGCAGGTAGGTCAGAAATTAATGCTGGCCGGGGAGGGTTGACCGGGCGCCAATCTTTAACTGTAGCCTCTGTTCACCCAGCAGTGAATGGGTACCTGGTTGTTAAACGATTCACTGGAGTCATATTCCAGGGAAATTAGGATTAAGGACTTGCCCGAAACGCCACGTGTGCTAGTGGCTTTACAAGAATGTAAAAACTCTTGTATATATCAATAAACCCTAAACCCCAATAGAGGGACTACAGGAGGGCCAGGAAGCCATGGTGAGGCAGTTTATGGACTCGCAACAATTGATTAATAGCAGTGGTGTAGGCAGGATTCCTGTTGTCAACCAGAAGAACTCGGTAGCTGAGACACTTGGGAAAACAATGTGGGGAAGAGTTGAGAATATGGGTTTAGCAGCTCTGATAAGAGCATCAGAAGCTTTAGACAGAATTAAATGAAAGAACAACCTCATTATAAGGAACCTTGCAAAAGAAGAGAGGTATAAAAGATCAGCAAATGGTTGAGGCAATGATTGAAAAACTGACTGGCAAGGAAGAGGAATTTAATGTTTTCAAGGCAGGGAGGAAAGGTAGGCCTGAGGTAACTCTGGTAAGCATAACAATCACAAATCTCGAACACCGAAGGAAGATACTCAGAAGTGCACATAAACTAAAAGATTTAGGGGGTGTAACCAAGTTAACATTGCCCTAGAACTCACAGTAGAGCAGCACAAAAACAGCAGTGAATGTAATGAAACGCCATTTTCTGGGTGAGAACCGGAGGGTTCCCGGAGCTATTCGGGCTGATATGTAACTATTAGCTTTCTGGCATCAAAGTGCATGGAGTTCTTGCCTACCAAGGACCACGAGCCAGAACCTGTCCCCTTCATAGAGGCACGAGGAGCAATGGCCTATAGAATCCCCCATGTGGTTGGAAGTATTCTATGTCTGCCATCGACCGGGTCTGGCACCCAGAGAGATATGCGCCCCAAAACAAACAAATTCTGGTGAAAATATTGCTACCAAAAGTCGAACGAGTGGACAGAACTCTCCAAATGAAAACTAGCAAACTAGCATGATGTCATCACATCGCCGTACCACCATCTGCGCAACCCCCATTCCCAGGGAGGAGGAAGGGGGAACCCCAGACCCTGTGCCAGTGATCCAACTGCCAGTTCAAAGGCTGGATGTCAAAAATGTGCGAAAACCACCACCTCCCTGAGAATCGGCGCAAACAACTTCAACAAGGCAGCAGTCGCCCTAGCCACTGAGGCAAGCGCACCGGACGAAGACCCGGCACGTAGTGCCTCCACATCCTCCTCAAGCCAGTCCGAGGACAGCTCAAGAAGAAAAAGGAAATGCAAGATAGAGGCCAAATGCCCACGGCCATGCAAATCTCAGCCAAAAGGGAGGGAACCTTCATATGATGCTGCACAACGCCAACGTCCTGAGTAAGGATAAGGACGAACAAGAATGTGTTAAGATGCTCAAACTCTCCCTTGCCCAGGAAGACTTTCACTGTACCACAGTGGAAATCTTCCACCAATCGACCGTGCATGTCCGACAAAACCCATTCCACACTCTCAACGAAAAGAAAGGGCACACTGCTAACCAGGAAGACTCCGGTACTCCGGTATCTCGTAATACACCCAAAAGGGGAAGGTCACACCGAACTCAAAAGAAGACAGATTCATCACCAAGGTGTAATCCGGGTCTCGCAGGAGGTAAGCCATGATGGCCTCCTGAACCTCCTTAGAGAGGATTTGAGAAGCCGAAAACCTCTGGAAGGAAGGAACTGAAGAACCCGGGGGAACCCAGAACCGAACCCGGGAAGGAGTCAAACACAAATCATGCTCGTACAGCAAAGGAGGGTACAAAAACCCCTCCCCCTGCAATAACAAGCCCTGCGACGAGGGTACCAACACCCAAGCGGGGTCAAATGGGGCCCAGGCCCCCCAAGTACACTTCTCTTCAGCCTTGGGGTCCTCCACACCAGGACCCAGAGCAGAGCCGTCCTCCACACCCTCTGTCCCTAAAGAAAAGTCCGAGTGCAGGGGAAAAGCTGAGAAGAAGGGGGTCTGCTGATAAGACCCGAAAGCTTCGGCAGAAGGAGCAGGCTCGAATGCTTCCATCACCGACACGGACAGGGCAGTCCCCCGAAGCCGTCCAAGTCTCACCACCATCTACACCCTGCCCGACTTCGAAGCTTTCAGATGTTTGGGAGCTGAGAGCTGGGGGATTAGGGAAGGGGAGCAGGATGAACAACACCAACAGGGGAAGGACATGGAAACATGGACGAAACCAAAGTCGAAGAGACTATCACCCCCAAGTCATGCATGGAACACTGAAGCTGCCTGTACCCAAATATTAATATCAGAAGACTGGGTAATCTGGAGCATGAGCAAGGAGCAAGACTCACAAGACTCCGGGTCAAAGGTGTCATTGACCCAACATGACGGAGGCAAAACTGGTGAGTGCCACCCTGAGACAAGGGGACAGAGCAATCATCAAACTCGCACTCGGTAAGTTGGGACCCAGAGGATGCATCCATAAGTCCAAAGAACCTCAATGTGGTATTCCAGGGTCCTTAGGCTTACTGATAAGGGAAGCCCAGGCAAAGTATTGCTAATTGGTTGGGGCCAAACTACCAAGAAAACTGCTAAAAACCTGAACCCCTGCGATATGTACAAGCAAGGGGGCCTAGCGGAGGACCACAAATAAAACAGAAGGGTGGATAAACCAAGGGGGCAGACCCCAACAGGCAAAATAAAAAAGAAAGAAAAAGAAAACCCCATAAAAGCACGTCCCCAGGAGAAACACAACTAGCCGCAATGTATAATGGGAGGCAAATTGCACAATACCTTGCGCCCCTATCAGCAATGATACCATTTCTTACCCAAGGCCAAACAGTGGCAACAAAAACCCCAGCTGGCCCCAAGGGCGGCCAATTGCCGAGCAACAACAGACCCCTACGGAAGTGGTTCCTGAATGTCCTGTGAACGATAAACCAAAGATGCAAGGGCAGTACTTACAGGGCACTTAAGGAAGGTGACCCTAAGCACATGCAGCCCCAGTACTGATGAATTACTCCTGGCCTGCATACCACACACAACAGAATACACCACAAGACACAGAACTACAAGAGTCAGAGGCCAGAGTCGACGACTACGACAGTCCTCATCAGCCGAGGAACTGACTGCTGTAGCAGCAGGCGCAGGGGGGCTGCACGGACGATCGGCGTGACGGCGGTAGTGATGATTGCTTGTTTTAGTTTGGGAGTTCTGCCTCCTTATTCGGTTACAGGTAGTAATTTTTACCATGTGGGGTTTGTTTTGTTATGCCTACCTTTCTGAGTGTCAAACCCCGGTCGATGACAGACACGGAATGCTTCCAAACACAAACGAGTTTCTATAGAGAATTGCTCCTAGTGCCTCTCTGAAGGGATTAGGTTCTGGCTCGTGGTCCCCGGTAGGCAAGAACTCCATCAACTGATGCCGCGGTCTAATACATACATATCAGCTCACGAAGCCATAGGGGCTCCCAATAGAATTTTTTTTAGCATCCGAACTAGCTGTGAGATCCTTAGTACTGAGAGAGCGACCATGGCTGGCGCATGCAGGAGCAGCTCACAGCACTGCAACCTTAAGAGTTTGCAACCTTAAGAGTAACTAGTGAAGTGTGTAAGAAAAAATGTGGAAAGATAAAAATACGTGAGGGAGCACACAATTAACACTTTCGCGCTCTCGGCGCTCAAAAAAAAACAATACCCCAGATGCTTTCGGCACTTCGCGCGCCTACGCGGTAAGACCGAAAAAGTGTACACTCTTTTGACTGTCCTGACAATAATTGAAGGCACACGTATTTAAATTTGGTATCACTGTGTTCGCAATGAAATTGTCTATAAGAGCATACCTATAAAATGCCGCCCAAGCATAAGGACTATCAACACCAAATAAAAAACTATGCAGATCACTCGCCGAGAGCGCCAAACAGCAACAAAATGTTTCCACTCTCTTAATGGTTGCGAAGCCTACAGTTGTCCTACATCGCTAATTTTGGTATCATTGGAATCGCAATAAAATTCTCTACACGGACATATGCATCTGAATGTTTAATATAGGTAATTGCCCACCCGCAAGAGTGTGTGAAGTGGAGAGTAGTTAGCCGCGAGCGCACTGGCGAAAACACAGGGGGGAAATCATGCTTGGAAAGTTTATACGTTTCCTGACCCTACTTTTCTATGTACGTATTTCTTTTTTATACCAATGTGTTCGCAATAAAATTTTCTATAAGATGAACTGTATAACATTTGTACAAAGCATGTGTAAGAGAAGCGCCAAATATAGAACCACGTCGCTCAGTATGCGTTCGCGGCAGAAACGAACGCATTGTTTTCGTTCGTTTGATGTTTGTCATGTTTATACTTGTTGAAACATTTTATAATTTGTATGACAGTGATCGCAGTAAAATTCCCTACACAGACATATACATAACACATACAAATATTTCCCACGTGTTGGATATATCAACGGCTAAAGGCAACCACTGCCACACGCTCGCCACACCCCCAAACATACTTTGTGTATTTTTTTTTTACTCATAGAAGTTTATGTGATATAATATTCATTCTGGTACCAAAACATTCACAAATAAATTCTCTACAAAACAAAAGTATCCCCATCCATTTCGGTTAAAAAATAGAATTTATAGAAATATTTTTTTGATGGACGAGAAAAGTAGGCTGTTATGCGGAATCGTACGAGAAAACGGCGACGAGTTATCTCTAATCTAAAGCGCGAAAGTGTTAATAAACCTTCTTATGAAATAGCTGACAACAGTCAGATTGGTTGAGATAAAAATGCTACAATCGTCTTCTCAAAATATCCTTTTTGGAATTTAAAAAACTATATAGCGACCAATAGATAAAAGAATTAATCCTCTAATTATTGAGTATAATGTATAAGGTAGTGTGAGTGATGGTACTGTAAAGTATAGTAGTGAAGGGGGTTTACCTGGTGTGGTGCCTCTTCTGAACCACTAAGAAAGTGATGCCAGGATTGTAGTTGGCCTCCAGCTCATTACAGGCCCCGCGCATGGCTGCCATTTCCCATGTTAACACTCCTTGAAACTGGGTGTCACTCACCCCATCACGGTACATAACTATCTTCTCAGGTTTCATTTTCTTACACTCTCTGTAGAATGTCATTAGTAGGTTCCTGCAAACAGCCCAAAATTATAGTATACAATATTGCTTTTATAGTTACATTTATTATACAGTATATTAATATCCTCATATACCATCAACGTTGTTATTACCAAACAAGATGTTATGTAGCAAGGATACATAATCCAAAACTTGTTCTTACTTCATCATTTGCTTCAGGTCTTGAATGAGTTCTTCACGATGTTCCTGATACCTAACTTCTACTGCATACTTTGAAGCATTCCTATCAAAAGATGCCACTACGGCTGCCAGCGACGGGGACTCTGCATCGCCAGCAGCTGGATGGTTCACGTCTGCTCCCATGATCATGGCAGGTTTCCTTAAAATCTAAATGTACATTTAAGAATGAGCCAAAAAAACCAGCGTTGAATGTAATGAAACGCCATTTTCTGGGTGAGTCCCGGAGGCTCCCCGGAGCTATCCATGGCTGATATGGATACCCTAACTATTTTGCATCAGTCGATGTGGGTGGAGTTCTAGGCCTACCGGGGACCACGAGCCAGAACCTGGCCCCCTCAGAGAGGCACGGGGAGCAATGGCCCATAGAAATGCACATGTGATTTGGAGCATTCTATATCTGCAATCGACCGGGACAGGCACCCAGAAAGGTAAGCGCCACAAAACAAACCCCTATTCTGGTTAACAACAAAAATCGACAAACGAGTGGACAGAACTCCCCCAGGAAAAGGAACTAACAAGCATGACGTCACACGAAGTGTAATGAAGATTGGGGTAGGAAGCAGGAGACCAGATACAAGGTATCACTTGGGAGATGAAATACTTCAAGAGTCAGAGAGAGAGAAAGACCTGGGAGTTGATATCACGCCAGCCTTGTCCCCTGAAGCTCATATCAAGAGGATAACATCAGCAGCATATGCCAGGTTGGCTAACATAAGAATGGCCTTTAGAAACTTGTGTAAGGAATCTTTCAGAACATTATATACCACATATGTCAGACCAATCCTGGAGTATGCGGCTCCAGCATGGAGTCCATATCTAGTCAAGCATAAGACTAAACTGGAAAAGGTTCAAAGGTTTGCCACCAGACTAGTACCCGAGCTGAGAGGTATGAGCTATGAGGAGAGACTACGGGAATTGAACCTCACTTCGTTGGAAGACAGAAGAGTTAGGGGGGACATGATCACCACATTCAAGATTCTCAAGGGGTTGATAGGGTTGATAGGATAGTTGACAGGGTTGATAAAGACAGGCTATTTAACACAAGGGGCGCACACACTAGGGGACACAGGTGGAAACTGAGTGCCCAAATGAGCCACAGAGATATTAGAAAGAACTCTTTTAGTGTCAGAGTGGTTGACAAATGGAATGCATTAGGAAGCAATGTGGTGGAGGCTGACTCCATACACAGTTTCAAGTGTAGATATGATAGAGCCCAATAGGCTCAGGAACCTGTACACCAGTTGATTGACGGTTGAGAGGCGGGACCAAAGAGCCAGAGCTCAACCCCCGCAAGCACAACTAGGTGAGTACAACTAGGTGAGTACGAGCCGCGCCGCATGTCTGCGCAGCTCCCCCCTCCCCGGGAGGGGGAAGGGGGAGCCCCAGACCCCCGCGCCGGCGATCCCCGCCCCAGTTCTAAGGCTGGATATCAAAACCGCGAAAAAAACCCGCTGACCTGAGGGCGGGAGGGTGCCGGGGAGCCTCCGGGACTCACCCAGAAAATGGCGTTTCATTACATTCAACGCTGGTTTTCAGGGGGAAGCTTCTACGGCTCCCCGGAGCTACTTCACCAAAGACTACCTAAGAAAACAAGGGGACATACCCGGGAGGCGGTCGGTGCACCACTCCTCAACACGAAGACGAGACAACAACCCAAGGACCCCTCCGGAAAGCAGCAGGCACATCATTCGCCAGAAAAAAGGGAGAATGGCCACAGACGAAGAAACCTATGACCACGACCATAGGAGCCCAAAACCACTGCGCCTGAGAAGAGCATGAAGCTCTGCCACACGACCCCTAGAGGCCAATGCCAACATAAAAATAAAGCCGAGCCAAAGCAAACCTGACCCCAAGGAGCCACAACCACCAAGGAGAAGAGAAACAGGAGAGCACCCTGTCCAAAGACCAGGACGACACAGGCAGTGCATAAGCAGGCCGGAGGTGAAACAATGCACGATACAGCCTGCGAAACGGCGCAGAAGGAATATCGATACCGAAAGCTAGCAGCAGAAACCAAGGTGCCAGACCCAGGAACGGCCCCAAGCGCCTCTACATCCTCCGCAAGCCAATCCTATGACAGCCCCAAGAGGGAAAAGAAAAATGCAGAACCAAAACGAAAATGCCACAAGCGTGCAAGTCCACCGCCACAAGTGCAGCTGACAGGGAAGGAACCCGCATAAGGAGCCGCCCCGCACCAACATCCCTCAGAAGGGCAGGAGCGAAAAGACTCATTAAGAGGAGCAAAATCGCCCCCGGGAAAACGAGCAGCGCCGAGACAGCGCGAAGAGAAGAGATTAGCCCAAAAGAACAAGAAGGCCAAACACCCAGAAGCTGCCGGGAAGAGGACCCACAAGCCCTAGAAAGGACCGGAGGGAAGCTCAACCGCATGACAACAGACGTACCAGAAAACGGGAAGGAGCAAAACCGTCCCGAACCTTCGAGAACAAAAAGAAGCAGACACAAAGGACGAAGGCACAAAAACACAGTCGCACCCGAGCCCAAAAGTCATGCAGAAACCCCAAGAAGATGGGGACATGACGGAGAAGGCCTGTCCCGGAGAAAACGGGGCAAAGACTATAGAAAAGCACCCACCGACAGGACGAAAACAACGGGCACAATGGACAAGGAAACCGAGCCCAGGGAGGGGCCGACGCCCACAAAGCACGTGCGGAGAGGGGGAACGGCAAAACCCCACACCACAAAACTGCAAGCCCCGCCCAGAGGGTAGAAACACCCCGGCGGGGACCAACAGGGCCTGAGGCCCCTCACGTTAGCCCCAACCCCAGCCCCGGGAACCCACCCTGCAGGCCCCGGGGCCGAGCTGTCCCTTTAAAGCCCCAGTGTCAAGAAAAACCCCGGGGCAGCCGTGAAAAACACGAAGGAAGGGAGCCCACTAGGCTCTGGAACTTGAACCGAAACCGGAGGATAGGCGAGGGGCGAGACGAAGACCCCAAGCACATCCCCAGCCATCACAATGAGGCGAGGACAAGACCGAGAATCCAAGGAACACGGAAAAACCAGGCCCGGCACAGCAAGACCGGCAAGGAAGGAGAGCCCCAGAGGGAGCACGGAAGGGCCGAACATAACGCCACAACCAACCCCGACACGCAGCTGCAGTACCAAAACCGCAGCAAAATGTCACCACACTCCCCGAGGAAGTGACAGAAGATAGATAAATCGTACAAGAGTGGCACACAAGGGGACACAGGCGGAAATCAAGCACCTAACTGAGCCACGGACGGTAGAAGAAACGTGTGCAGTGTAACAGGCAAACAAAGGAACACATTAGGCAGCCCAACATGGGATGACCCCATACACAGCCCCAAGAGCAGAGACGAGAGCGCCCAAGAAGCACAGAATCTGCCCGACAGGCAAACGACAGGGAAGAGGCGGAACCAAAGAGCCAGAACCCAACCTGCACGCACAAATAGGCGAACACAAAACCTCCGACACAGGAAAACGTACTACCAAACAGGAACCCCCACCGTTGCACTGCGGAACAAAGTGGAGGCGGGGCCCCGAACTCTATCAAGGTTAGACAAGCATAGGAGAAGGGCAAGAGGAGTACAGGCAGGAGCCGCCTCGGAAGGGCCAAGAGGCCACCCGCAGACACCCATGAACCAAGGAAGGAATCAGGTGGAGAGAACAAGAGCTGCCCAGTATGGGCTAATAGCCCTGCAGTAGGCACCTCGGGTGATACGGTCCACGTTCTCAAGTACGTATGTACACCCATTCCTACTCCCAAAAACAAAAACAGCGTCAGGACGAAGGAGACGCTAAACTGCACCAACTCACCTGCAGAACATAGGCTCTGAAGGGCCATGACGCAAGCTTTCGAGTCCGTATCCGCCGGAGGCGGCCAGTGCGCCCATGCAGGAGAGGAGGGGAGCAGCGAAGGAGGCTCCCCACCCTAGAACGCAAGGAAAAACCTCGTGACTTCCCCACAGCGGCACCCCAGAACACCCCCAAAGCAACGGGGCATGCATTGGATTAAGAAAAGAGCGAGAGGCGAAGCCTCCCCGAGAGAAAATGGATGCAGAACACGTGTGCACACCGCCCGGAACCAAAACAAACTCCCATGGCGCATGCGCAGGACGCGAAAGTAGCCGAACCAGGCGAGAAGGAGCCCAACCAGGTGAGAAGTAGCCCAACCAGGTGAGAAGTAGCCCAACCAGGCGAGAAGTAGCCCAACAATGCGAGAAGTAGCCCAACAAGGCGAGAAGTAGCCCAACCGGCTACAAGGAGCCCAACAAGGCGAGAAGTAGCCCAACCGGCGACAAGCAGCCCAACTGGCAACAGTAGCCCAAACTGCCACAAGGAGCGCAAACGGTGACAAAGGAGCGCCAACGGCGACAAATGAGCCCAAACGTGTACAAAAGAGCCCAAACGGCTACAAGGAGCCCAACCTGTCCAGAACAGAAGGAACCAGTATGGAGGCAAACTCCGGGGCACGCAGGAGGTAAGCCACAAAAGCCAACCGCACCGCAGGCAAAGAGATGCGGTTAGCCGAAAACCTCCGGAAGATGGAACCGAAGAAACCACAGGGACACGGAACTGAACCCGGGGAGGAGCAGAACCCAAGCCCAAATCGTACGCAAAGGGGGAAGAGAAAACCCTACTCCTCACAACAGTAAGCCCCGCTCAAAAGGACAGAAATCCAGGCGGGGCGCAATGAAGCCCAAGGCCCCCAAGGCCGTTTCTTCCCAACCCCAGGAGCCTCTACACCAGGCCCCGAGGCTGAGTCGACCTCCAAAGCCCCGGCCCCACAAGAAAAAGCCGGGGCAGCCGAGAGAGCTAAAAGAGAAGGGGCCCACTGGTCAGACCCCGGAGCATCGGTCGGAGGAACATACTCGAATGCCTCCACAGCTACCCCGGACGGGGCAACCCCCGAAACTGCCCGTCTCAGAACCTCTAACCCTGCCCCGACCCCGAAGCCTGCAGATGCGTAGGGGCCGGAAGCAGGAGGGGGAGTGTGGAAGAACCAAGGCCGAAGCGACCAAAACACCCAAGTCTAGGTCCCTACACAAGCGGGGCAGCATCGGGGCGTCCGGGGAAGCGACAAACCTGAGCGCGTTGCAACATCCTACCCTGCAACGTGCGAGCTGCCTGCTCCCACGGGAATTCATCAGCAGACTGGGTGAATGGAGTTACGAACAAGCAACAAAGCTCGCAGGACTCAAGTGTTGAATGTGTCACCGACCCAACAGGCAGCATGACGGAGGCAAAAACAAGGAGAGTCACCCTGAGACAAAGGGACAGAGCAACCCCTCAACTCGCACAAAGCGAGAGGGGACGCAAGGGTCTCCACTACCGGACCCGAGAGCCCCCAGGGGGTTTCCCAGGGCCCCTAGACTGGGTATGCTAAGGGTTATCCCAGGCAGGGCACTGCTAACCGGCGCCCCAAACTACCAAGCAAACTGCTAAAGCTGAACCCACGGGACGTGTCCACTCGCGAGGGCGCAGCAGGGGGTGCCACCATACAAACGAACCTAATATAAGGGGGGGGGGGGAACACAAGGCAGATCCCCCTACCAGGCAAAAACAAATATAAAAGAAAAACCACAAAAGTGGACAACGTACCCAGAGGGAACAGAGCCGGCCGCTGTCATAGGTGAAAACTAGCTACGCAATACCCTGTGCCCCACCAGTGCTATAACTACCACTTACCTCAAGGGAAACAAGGGAGAAAAAAAACCCAAACCCTCGGGGGCGGCCAAATGCCAAGCAGCGAAAAGCCAACAGAGGTAGACCCAAGGTGACACTAAGTACATGCAGCCCGAGTACCTGAGAATACTACTCCCAGCTCACACGACCACCGTAAGAGCAGCACTGCAAAACAAGTCACAGCATTGAGACAAGACCGGAGCTGGAGCCACACGACCGTGCATTATCCCATCAGCCGAGAAACTGAGGCGGGGGTCTGGGGCTCCCCCTTTCCCCTCCCGGGGAGGGGGGGGAGCTGCGCAGACATGCGGCGCGGCTCGTGTGATGTCATGCTTGTTAGTTCGTTTTCCTGGGGGAGTTCTGTCCACTCGTTTGTCGATTTTTGTTGTTAACCAGAATAGGGGTTTGTTTTGTGGCGCTTACCTTTCTGGGTGCCTGTCCCGGTCGATGGCAGATATAGAATGCTCCAAATCACATGTGCATTTCATTTGATTTGGCCCATTTCTATGGGCCATTGCTCCCCGTGCCTCTCTGAGGGGGCCAGGTTCTGGCTCGTGGTCCCTGGTAGGCCTAGAACTCCATCCACATCGACTGATGCAAAATAGTTAGGGTATCCATATCAGCCATGGATAGCTCCGTGGAGCTGTAGGGGTTCCCCCCAGAAAATATATAAGATATAATAATACAATATATAAAAATAGAAATATAAAATGAGAAATGTGAATTGCAAATTTATTTAAAAGACCATGATACCAAATTATATGTGCCGTACTAAAGGGTTAGTAGTATAGTCGGGGTCGTTCTCAACTCACACTGAGGAATTCAGGGTTCGAATTCCGGACAGGACAGAAATGGTTGGGTGCATTTCCTATCACTTAATGTCCTGTTCATCTAACAGTAAGTAGGAGATAGACAGCTTGTTGTGGGCCTGTATCCTAGGTGGGGTCACAATTTGACCCAAGTCAAATTACTGACCCCCAGGTCAGTAATTTGACGTGGGGGTTGGGGTGGGGGTAGGGAAGAGTTATCTTGATATAAGCCTAACGTGTATGAATACACTCTGGCTGCCTGTCTCCAGACACAATGAATTATTATTATTAATTGTTATTGTTATTAATTGAAAACTTTAAAAATGATCTCCAAAACTATATTACTCTAATAAAATAAGAATTTATTCTCCAAACTACAAACAGTGGATGATACAGCACTGTACTACAATACTGCTAATAGTAGAAGATAAAAAACTACCAAACAAATAATCCCAAGATAATCAATACCAATAGAATCACCAACATTCAGTTCAATAAAGTTATTATATATTGTTAAGATGAACTTACCATTGGAGCATTTTGTGGTGATATTATGCTGTTTATTCCCCCAATCTTGGCATTAATCTTGAGAAGGATGTTGGACAATGTTGGGAATTTAAAGTCTTTAACATTCAAGCACTGAACACACTGGGTTAAAACACCCATTTCCATGTCTCCAGCTTTCTTCACTCGGGCTAAAATACAAGAAATTTGTGTAAAAGCAACATACTCAAAGATAAATCCTGACAGTTAATACTTGATGACTTCAATTTAAAAGCAATAGTGGGAAACCTTTGAAGCAAGAAGAGAGGACCTTTGGCCCCGGCTGATTCGTAAACTCCAATAGCCTTTATTTCAATAAAAGAAGGTACATAAGGTTTGTGAGAGCACATAACATTGGTGTTCTTACATTCTTGCAAAGCCACTAACAAGTAAAGCATTTTGGGCAGGTCCTTAAACTAACAGATAAGGTACAATGAATACGTACAGTATAGCAAAATTTTAATTCAACAAAATAACTGCAAAATAAATTAGCAGAGATGATTACAATGGTGAAGATGAATGTCTTTAAGTACTAACATTGGGGAAGTGGGCAGCACAAGATATAGTGTGAGTTTAAACCATAAGGTACGAAACTATGAGGATGAAATTAGGTACTTTTTGGTTTTACTTTTGAATAAGGCATAGGTTAGACAATTTTTTTATTCATTAAGGGAGTGAGTTCCATAGATTTAGTTTGACTCTGGGGATATTAAAGAGTTGTTAATTTCTGGTGTGGCGCTCATTAGTTCTATTACATCTATCAAGGAATCCTCCTTGAGTCTTTCATGTATCGGCATGTTAAACAGGGCATAAGAATGAGAGAAGGTGATGCTCCATCATTGCTGGATTTGGTATTTACCAGGAAAGAAGATATTTGATGTTCAGCATCCTTCTCCATTGGGAAAGAGCAACATACCATATTTGGAAATCAAATATACAATGCATTACAATACAGAAGACATGAGTAGAGAAAGGGAAATATTGTACATATATTGGAAAAACTTGATTTCAAGAAAGGACACTGGGGAACTTTGCAAGTTCTTAATTAAGTTGATTTGTTGTTAGGCAATTTATATGGCAAATTTTGTGTTATATATAGGACACCAAAAAATTGATACCAAAACATAGATGTAAAACTACAACACCAGGCAACAAAAATAATTTCAGAGCTAAGTCATTTCTCGTATCTGGAATGGTTAACCACTGAACTGCTCTGCAATAAAATATGACACTCCTGTGGTGCACAAAAAATAAATTCTTTCCAAAAAATTATTTTATCTTCTTATATTGTTAAAATACAGTCTATGATTACAGGAAACTAAAAAAAAATGCGTTAAATGTAATGAAACGCCATTTTCTGGATGAGACCCGGAGGCTCCCCGGAGCTATACCGGGCTGATGTGTATATATTAGACTGTGGCAACAGTCAATTGAAGGAGTTCTAAGCCTACCGAGGACCAGAGCCAGAACCTGGCCCCCTCAAGAGAGGCACGAGGAGCAATGGCCTAAACACACCACCGTGTAATTGTAAAAAGTATTTGTCTGCAATTTACCAGGTCAGGCACCCAGAAAGGTAGGAATTTGAAAACAAACTACTGCTGGTCAAAAATTGCAAACCGAAAGTCAAACCAGCAAACAGAACTCCCCCAATCAAAAACAAGGAGACAAACATGACGTCATCACAATCACCGTGCATTCGTCTGCACAACCCCCCCTCCTCGGGAGAGGGATGGGGGGTCCCTGACCTCCAGTTCAGCAACTTTCCTCAGTTCAAAAGCTGAGTATCAAAAACGCAAAAACCACCGACCGAAGGGAGGGAGAGATGCCGGGGAACCTCCGGGTCTCACCCAGAAAGTGGTGTTTCATTACATTCAACGCTAGTTTTCTGTGGAGAGCCCCTTCGGCTCCCCAGACCTACCTAACCAAAGATAAGAAGAAAGGACTCACCCGGGAGGCAGTCTTCACTCGCAATCAACTAAAAGTTGAGACAAATGGCCCCAACCTGCGACCCAAGGCTATACACGCCTGAGAAGGACTAGGAACATTAACAAGGAAATGGGCAGCCAGGACCCTGTTTGACCTCCAAAAGCCCTGTGCCCGAAGATAGGCCAGGACATATTACCAAAACAGCAGCCGAACGCTGAACTTAACAACAGTGTGGGCACGGGGATAGACCGCAGTCTGGCTGGACCGAATAATCTTGCAGACAACCTGGGAGACCCGCGCCCTGGAATAGGGAAGAAGGGGAAACTGGGTCAACCCAAAACGCATCCTCTGCCACAGAGGCCGTGGGGCGCAAATATCGGCAAAGAGTCACAAACAGACACAAAACATGATGCACCCCTTGCAGAACCAACCAAGCTTCAACAACCTATGGACCCCTTCGGAAAGCAGCAGACTCATTCTTCGTCAGGAAAGGAGACCAACGAGCAAATGAAGAAAAGATCACCAGGACTGAAAGAGCAGAAACCCCTGTGCCGGAGGAGAGCATGAAACTCTCCGACCCGACCCTCTGAAGCCAATGCCAACAAGAAAAGTGCCATAGGAAAAAAAAAGTCCTGAACCGAGGGGGCCACCACAAACCGAGGAGAAGGGAGAAGAGAGCACCTAGTGCAGCAACCAAGACAGCTCAGGCAGTGCATGAGCAGGCCGGAGGTGAAAACAACGCCTGAGAAAACTTGCGGAATGGAGCAAAAGTAACACCACCCCAAAAGCAAGCTACAGCGGTTCCTCTAGCGCTGCCGAAATGAGGCGACAGTATCTGGCATAAGATGACAGTCCTGAAACAACCACTCCTGAATTCGAAGACAATCTACGAAGAGACAAAGTGCCGAAAGGACCACCAAGAAATTTCATACTGTCGTCGAGACGAAACTCACAGGTGGAACACCAAGAGTGGAGAAGAGTGGAGACGATCGAACCAGCCACGTACCGGACCAGACCAATCTGCTGAAATAGGCAGAGTTACGAGAAGACCCTTGGGTTTGGACATCGAGCAAGAAGCGCCTGAAACCAGGGCTGGGCTGGCCAAGAAGGAGCCAACAGGACTTCTCTTCCCTGGAAGTGTCTCCAAGCAAGCCAGGACCGGGAGCAACAACTGAACCGGTGAGAAGAGGTACAGGACTCCCCACCTCGACTAGTCCAGCCAAAAGGCATCGACCTTGACGGCCTCGCTGTCTGGGAAGAGTGCCACATACACTGAAAGATGCCCCGACCACGCCATTGTGAAGAGGTCCACCTCTAGGCACCTGTACGTCTGGCAGAGCCAACTGAACAAGACAGCGTCGACCGTCCATTCCAAGGATAGGGGAATGAACCGAGACAGGCCGAACGCCAGGAAGTTTGACACCCCCTGAAAGTGAACCGCCAGGAGAGCCAAACCCCGAGAACTCAGCAGACGAGCCAAAGAGTGATTACGTCCTGTTAGACATTGATTATGCTTTAAGATATCATCTAGAAGAAAATGGGGACATTGAAACAGTTGATAAACTTGATTTAAGGAGAGGTCACTATGGGGAACTTCGAATTTTTTTTAATAAGTGTAATTGGACAGAATTGTTGCTAGGCAGGGAAGTAAATGAAATGTATGCCAAATTTTTAAAAATATACGAGGAAGGCACACAAACATTCATACCAAAACAGAGATGCAGCGCCAGAAAACAGGATTGGTTAAACAGAAATTGTGAGAGGGCCAGAGACCAAAAGACACAAAAATGGAATCAGTATAGGAAGAGGCCAAACCCCCAAACATACCAGCGATACAAAGATGCAAGAAACAACTATACGGCAGTAAGGAGAGAGGCAGAAAGAAATTTTGAAAAAGGGATAGCGGATAAATGTAAAACAGAACCGGGCCTATTCTACAAATTCATAAACAACAAATTGCAGGTAAAGGATAATATCCAGAGGTTGAAAATGGGAAACAGATTCACGGAAAATGAAAAGGAAATGTGTGAAATATTAAAAAAAAAGTTCCAAAGTGTGTTTGTACAAAATGAAATCTTCAGAGAACCAGACACAATAAGAATTCCAGAGAACAACATAGAGCGGATAGAGGTGTCTAGAGATGAAGTGGAAAATATGATAAAGGAGCTCAGTAAGAACAAAGCAGCTGGCCCAGATGGAATTTCACCATGGGTTCTGAGAGAATGTGCATCTGAGCTCAGCATTCCACTTCACCTGATCTTTCAGGCATCCCTGTGTACAGGAATCGTAGCAGACGTGTGGAAACAGGCTAACATAGTTCCAATCTACAAAAGTGGCAGCAGGGAAGACCCCCTCAATTATAAAATAAAAAAATAAAATAAAATGTTTATTTAGGTAAGGTATATACATACAATAAATTTTTACAAAGATTGGTTGACTTATAGGTAGAGCTAGTACATACAATGCCTAAAGCCACTATTACGCAAAGCGTTTCGGGCATGATAAACTTAAATGACAAGCTTAATACTAATTGAGCATAATGAGTAGAATGAAAACAAGAAATGAAAACATAGATGAAAAAGCAGCACAAATACAATTATGTCGACAAACAGCGCTCTTAAAAAAAAACAGACATTGGTTGACAATAGAAGGCGGATAGACCTGTATCATTGACAAGTGTCAATGGTAATGTATTGGACTGGAGAAATGTCACAAGTGGAGTACCACAGGGCTCAGTTCTTGCATCAGTGATGTTTATTGTGTACATAAATGATCTACCAGTTGGTATACAGAATTATATGAACATGTTTGCTGATGATGCTAAGATAATAGGAAGGATAAGAAACTTATATGATTGTCATGCCCTTCAAGATGACCTGGACAAAATAAGTATATGGAGCACCACTTGGCAAATGGAATTTAATGTTAATAAATGCCATGTTATGGAATATGGAATAGGAGAACATAGACCCCACACAACCTATATATTATGTGAGAAATCTTTAAAGAATTCTGATAAAGAAAGAGATCTAGGGGTGGTTCTAGATAGGGTGTTGGGTCGAGGTCGAGGGAGGGGGAAGACGTACCGTGCGCGCTCCGTTAAAATCGTGTCATTAACACTTTCGCTCACCCCGCGCGCCACCCCTCGACAGGGCGATATGGGCCCCAGCGTGTCACGGAAGCGCGCGTTAATTTCGAAAAGTGTATACTCTCTTCAACTTTGTCA